AACTGGCCTTGGCACCCAGGAAGAGAGGGTACTTTGTCTCTTTGAATACTTGTGGAATTCTCATGTGAAAGAGGAGGCCAAGCTAAGACAAATAAGTGGTAAACACAAGAAGAAAGATAACACCTTGGTAAAAAAAAAAAAAAAAAAAAAAGTGAGGTATTATGAATTGTTCAGTAATAAAGAAGTCTTATGAAATAGTGAACTTCTAGTCACTAGAGGCATTCAAGTAGAAGCTGGATAACTATACGGCAGAGATGTTTTCCTTGACCCTTAGTACACTGGTCATTCAGGACTTCAATCTTTTCCTGGAATATTTCACCCCCTTTCCCATCTGCGGGTCTTCACCCATGTGTTTCCTTTGCTGAAGACTCCTACTTCTTTTTCACACTCCATCCAACATACATATCTTTTTTTCTGCCTGACCCTTCCGATCTTTTAAATTTTAGACTCAGCTTTCCTTGCTTTATCTTCCTTCCATACTCTTTACTTCTGATATCTTAGCATTGTCTCTTACATGTGGTTATAATTATTTTTTGAATGTTTCTCTTCCTCAAAAGACTGGAAATTATAATTGCCCTATCCTCAGTGCCTGGTATATAGTAAATCCTCAATAATTTTCATTGGATGAGCAAATATAGAAACCTTATATAAATGATTACTGTAGTGTATGTTAAACCCTAAGTTTTCTTAAGACTCTCCAAGACTATGATTTCATGAAGGTAAAAAGAGGATCTTCATCCTAAAGATTTTACTTTTATTTATTTTCAGAGTTAGGCAAAGTAATCCCCACTGCAATTTGAAAATTATAATGATAATCACTAGCATTCATTTTGGATACCAATCAACTGCGAACCACTCTAGTGCAAGAGGTGCTATCACTAATTTAATTATCTATATATCTATGTATCTAGCTATGTATCTATCATCTATCTATGTATCTATTATCTATCTATCATCTATGTATGTATGTATGTATGTATGTATCTATCATCTATAATCTATATTTATTGGTCTATCATCTATCTCTGTGTCTCCATAAATTCTACATATATTCTGTAGCTCTGTCTTGGCTTGAAAGCAGTGATACCCCAATAACAACAGGCACACGTAACTCTCATCTGTCCACTAAAAGAACTTAGAGTTTCTTGGAAAATGGGTATTTTCAGGGCTAGGACACAGAAAGTACACAGTGAGGCAGACACAGCTTGTGGAACCAGAAAGAAGAAAATGAATACATTATACACACACATTTATGGCTATATTTCATGTCTATACATTTTGGAAACCAGTTCGTACTCAGGTCCTTAATTCTAACCAACACTAAAGAATTCATTCTAGTTTTCTCCCTGTTCCATGTTTATAATTCCCCTGATGGATAGTGAGAAACCTGGCTCCTCTCATGGGGAATACATTTACTTTTGGCCCACCTCCCTCCGTGAAACCAATCACCTACTCCTCACCCTGTACAGACACCCTCCTTACCCCACTTGGGCACTGACACCCCATGTCTGGCTGCTGTACTGTGAGGGTCCTCTTTACCTCGCTAGGGACTCACCTCCCTCACTGTGTCACCATGGTACCCGCAGTCCCAGGGTGGGCTTCCCTTGCTGGACCCTACATAAGGAATTTTGGCAGTGAATTTTTCAGGAAGGGAAAGGGAAGAGAAAGAGAACAGAATGGAACATCTCGTGAGAAAATAATCCTTGGAGAATAAAAGGAGACAAATGCTATGGCTCAGTAGTTTATAATGAATTATAAACTACTGTATGGGCCTATATCCTTCAATGTCAAGAATGCAAGGCGGGGGGGATGAGATGTAAGTGAGGTATAGAGGCAAGGGGGGATAATTAAAATATCAGGTAAAATATAAAACTCTTAAAAACTGTTTTTGCCAAAGTTTCCAAATAGTCCCAATATCTATATGTGTAAATCAATATATAATCCTTTCTCTAAACAATCAAAAGAAAAGCTATGGCTCATCTGTTTAGTATTTGGACCATTTTGTCTCTCGGTAATTTATGATAATATTTAGAATGGTGTTAGAGCAATCCTGCTGTTATGAAAATTTACATTTTGTTTATTTCTTGCTTTTGTTATTTTGTGATTAACTTGTCAAGCTTAACATTCCTGAGATCCACAGTGTGAATGGCTTTGTATTTATTATCCTTCTGAAATGCTGTGTGCAGAAATGTTCTTCAAACCCCTCTGACCTACAATCCCAGGGGAAATCTTGTGATAACAGCTCGCTTATGAGCTGGCTGTCGTTTTTACCTATAACAGCCTAAATTGCCTTAAACTACTCTGGTATAGATTACATTTTGGTCTGGATTTAAATCATGTCTAAAATGAATTTCAAAATTTGCCAAAACATCTTGATGAAACCATCAAATTAGATCAACCAAAAGACTGCTTAAAGATATCCCACAACATATGCCCCTTATTTGAATGTGAAGGTATATTTGTGTTGGTGCAATTGATCTCAGTTGCTCACTGAATTCTCATAAGGTTACTAAAGAACAATGAATAGATGCTCCTGAAACTAGTTATGGGGCACTAAACCTACTCAGATCAATCCTTTTTTAAAAGAATAACTATGGCCTCAAATATAAAACCAACAAACCCAGAAACATTACATTTTTTTAACCTTAATTCTTTACATTCTGCATTTCAAATGAGTCACATAGAATAAAAATGATATCTTGTATCTAAGGGCTTTGAAGAACAGACTCTAATTTTCGAATATATCAGAGACTAGGCTAGAATAATAATATATCTTATATTTCCATAGCACTTGTGCTTTTCTAATATACCTTCTTTAATGTTTTTTTATTTGTTCCTCAGAGCAGTAGGATAATTCTTTTTTAAAATTCTACCCTAAGTATTTCTATATTCAGATCTTGTCCCCTGCTCTGTTTCACAACTGGGTACATGACTTTGGATAATTTATGTTAACCTTCTGTACCTCAGAGAATAAAAATGGGAGTTGGATCAGATCGAGGCTTCTTAGTCTCTTCTATGCTGTGGATGTCTTTGGCAGCCTCGTGAAACGTGTGACTCTCCTAAGAATAATGATTTTAAAACCAATAAAAAAGGATTACAAATAAAACCAATTATATTGACATTCAGTTATTAAGGTTTTTAAAAAGCAAATGTATCCTATGGTAATATGTGTTTCCTTATTATACATTAAATAAATAGATACATATCATGAACCCATAACTACTACAATTTTCATGTCATAACTAAGTGTATCTGCAACAATGTTAATGTGATTTGAAAATATCTGTGGATCCTATTGGTGGCCAAGCCACCGGTACTTCCAATACATTGTGGTTCATTGCCTACATTCCTCATTAATGGGAACGCTCAATTTCAATCACAAGCTAGAGAAAATAAAAATGGAAACTTTTTTTTTCCTATCCAAGTTTAAGAATGCCCTGAATTCTATTCATTAGATGATATCAAAATGAGTTTCATATATATATATATATATATATATATATATATTCCAGACTTTATAAACAACCCTGCTATGTAGTGAGGCAGGGCGGCATACATTCAGAACTGCTCTACTCTCAGTGTGGTCTTTTTGCACAGCAGCACCAGCAGCGCCCACCTGGACCTTGTTAGAAATGCAGAATCTCTGCCCTCTCAGGTCTGCTGGGCCCCTATCTGCACATGTCCAAGACCCTTAAGTGACTGGGGATGCACACTATTGCTTGAGAAGCGCTCCATAGATTAGGCTGCTGGGCCAGTCTGGGAGCTTTTCAGCTGTGATCAAACCCAGCACCTTACACCAAGAGTAAATTTCTTCCCTTTTAAAAAACTTGCCCTTAAGCCTGAAGTCTGAGAAGTTGGTAACTGTTCTGCAAGCAAGGAGAGCAGTGCTGTTAGACACACAATGGCGGTTTTCTTAGAAAATTTAGGTTTGGCGTTTCTTAGGGGTTAATAATTGGGTAGGTCTAGATCATTTTGGAGAACCGAAAGAGCCCCAGGCAATGGCTTGAGGTTTGGCAGAAGAAAATTTTCTCTGAAAGTGGGGGAGGAATGATAACAAATTTGACTGCATAACCAGAGAGAAACAGAGTTTTACATTTTTAAGTACAGGCATGATCTGTTTGTTGTGTATGGTTTAGTTTGAACACTGTAACCACTTGCGTATAGCAGTTAATATTCTTGTGAATACATGTTTGAAGAATTTTACTTAAACAATTTTAGGCATGTAAAATATTAATCAGTCACTGTCTTATGAATTAAATCATGTCTATATGGGGGAGAAAAGCCACTTCTGAAGTGTCTTACAGTGAACTTTTCTAAAAAACTTTCAATACAGTATACATTTTTTGAGCATCTTTTGTGTACTAGTGAAAATTCAGTGACGAATAAGACACTGTTCTTGCCATATAAGAATTGCCAATTTATTTTGTGAGCCAGACAAAAACAAAAAAAACAAACAAAAAAATTATTGATGATAAGAGTATGTTAAGTTCCAGGATAGAAGCAGACACATGATACTATTTATAGTGGTATAGGGGGTTTGCGTACAGCTTTTAGTTCCTGTTTACTCATTTACTCATTGACTCAATTATTTATTCATTCATTTGTTCAACAATGTTTATTGAGCCATTATCCAATGTCACACACTAATCTTTATGGCTGAGCATAGAATGTTGACATGGGAAGTGGTGAGGCAGGCCTAGGTTGTAATTACATTGGGTTTTGTGATCATCATTCTTGGCGCAGTCATGAGAGGTGATAGGAAAGGGGTCTTCAGAGATTATTTCAAGGTTTCAAGCCTGGAAAAATCATTCTTGTTTTCATTTTTAGGTCTCTTGAATGTTTAAAAATCTTTCATTGTTTCTTATTAACGATATTTACAAACAAATATCTGTCTCATGTTGGAATTTTATAGTATGATGTACTTCTTGTCAGTTTTTGTTTTTGTTTTTGTTTTTGCTTCAGCAATGTAATTAACATATTTTCCTATCATTATTTTGCAGCTTTGGACACTTGTCTTGATTTTGTGGCCAGTCATTATTTTCATAATTTTGGCTATTACACGGACCAAATTTCCTCCAAGAGCAAAACAAACGTGTAAGTAAATGAGATTTGTTTGTTTCCCTACCTTTTAAATTCCAGTTACAATTTATTTTGATACCACTTTGGTGTTTTGTTATAAAATTTATGTTTTCGAATAGTGTTTCCACTTGAAAGTATCTGTGTAATACTTAGCATGTGTTTTTCTTCAGTTTCTTGAATTAGTTAGAAAGGTGAGCCTGTAATATTTACCTAGAAAAATACAAAGCATTTAGGAGCCAGAATATACTTTAAATTCTACCTATAAAATTTTGACTCATTTATTATTCACCTCATAAATCTCACCATGACACGTACAACAACAACAAAAAAGTAGCAATCTCAGCTAGAAACCATAGCCTGGTATTTGATGAACTGAATGAATGAACTCCAGAGTACTACTATAAAAATCGCTTCTCTCTCTGCATGGCTAATATTGGTGTGGTACAAATATATAATTTTGTTTAAGAGAAGGTTGTTTCCAATTAATGTTGTTTCAGTTACATTTAGCATTGCCAAGTTATAAAATGGGCATAATGCCCAGCTCAGCCACTATTTTCTTTTGGATGCAGAATGAAAATGCAGAAAAGACTGAGACAAGGCCTCAGAACTGAGGGGAATAGTGGTTAGACCAATGCTTTTTTTGCTTTTGTTCTTAAACTTTGGAGCCAGTTTTCTTAGTAGAAATATTTATGAAGTATTTTTATAAGAAATATTTATTAAGTATTTTATTCAAGTAAATGCTTTTACTTCAGTAAAAGTCAGGTCGGATGTCTCACGTTTCATAAAGCAGCCATCTTCTAGAGATTCTTGTCAATCGAATTTCTGCAAATCAGATTGTATTTCAGATAAATTATGGCGATTTGCTATATGAAAGAATACTATGCTGAATTATTTGTAAACAGAATAATGCATTAGTGGCATTTCCAAAAGCACAGTACTTTTCAATCACAAAGTCCTAAGACAGAAAATGATAGACACGATGGATTGAATTATACTCAGTAGGATAACTAAAAAAAATAAATAAATAAAAAATAAATTAAATTAGTGTAAAGCATTTAAACTCTTGGTGCTAGAATAAATATTTACATTTGAATAGCACCTTGTCATTTCTACAGGACTTTTGCCCAAGTTATTATGTAGAGGTGTTGATGAGATTTTATTAGGTTGTTTATAAAACAGCATAATTTTGTGCTCTTCATATTGTGAATATATCAGTCTGTTATAGCAGATTAATTCCATTGTCTGCTGTTGGAATTAATGTATTCTTGCATATCTTAAGTAGCATGGACTTCAGAAATAAATGAATTCATAGCATAAGGACAAACGACTGAACTATTCTGGTTTAAGATGCTAACTATCGATTTGCCAATGATAGTGTTAGAGGAGTTTATAGCTTCTTCCCACAACTTATTTCCACCAATTTCTTGTTTTAAAAGGTTTTTCAGTTATGTAATATACCTATTATGAAAGTTCCAAGAGACAAATATAAGGTGTGTTGAGTGAGCAGTCTTCATCTAATTGGTGCTACCTGATAGGATTTAGAGATTCATGGAGAAAATCATAAAAAGCTCTTACAATTCCACTTAATTATGAAGAAAATATTGGGAGAACCATGTGACAAATGCATCATACACCTAATCTAAAAAGCTCTGCAAAAGCATGATAATTAAAAAAAGATGAATAATCAATTTTTATGGTGGATCCATTATCATACTCTAATAATAATTAGCTATGAGGTGATTACATTTATGTTTGTGGGTAGAAGAGAACAAAATATAGGAAAGTTCAAACATTAAAAGTATTTTTGCCAGTCTCTCAGATCTTATAATCTTTATTTTTTTTAATTGGGGAATTGGGGGAGGGGAATAGTGTTGGGGAATCGGGGAAGGGGAACAGACAAGTTGCTGTCCTTTTTTTGTTCTTCAGTATAGTTGTGGAGGACGTCGCTTCACTGACCCGTGTTGGTATTATCATTGTGCTCTTCCCAGGTGAGGCAGATCGGTCACTGGCCTCTGGACAGCCACTCACGGCGGCTCTTGGCAGCTCACACCAGCTGCCAGCCGCTCACACTGGCTGCCGGCCACACACTGTAGCTTATGGCAGCCCACTGCAGCAGGGGCTGCAGCCTACGCCGTCGTCAGTGACTCATGGCAGTCCAGCTCCAGGTCGAGCTGTTGTTCACCATTATAGCTGTAGATGGCAGTGTCACTGGTCCTCATGTGGGATCCAAACCAGGACCCTGATGCTCAGAGCTGGAGTCCCAAGCCAGCTCTTAACCAAGGTGCCACTTGGCTGGCCCAGATCTTATAATCTTTAAAACATATTGGGTTGTTGGAAAAGTCATGACGCATTTTTGCAACGAAAACCAGAAAAAATATGTCATGACTTTTCCAACAGCCCAATCGTTTATTGGTTTGCTATTAGAATTGGAAGGAACACTCTGACGTTACAAATGAGAACACTGGAACCCAGGGAGGTTGCAATTTGCCAAAATTCAATCATGTGGGATAGGACAGAAAGTTTATGGAAACTGCCTTTACTTATTCTTTGTCCATGAGATTTATATCATATCATACCTTCTTATACAAAGAGCCAAATACAAATTATGTCCAAGGTTTCAACTCATCCTATAATCCACAGAGTATAAAATGTAATCTTATGATTGGTGGTGCTGTTTTCTAAGCTAAAGAATCTAAAACTAGTATAGACACAGTTACCTTCTCTCTCTTACAGTAGAGAGAACATAACTTTGAAATGACAATTTGGATTTAGGTTTATTTATTTATTTATTTGTTTAGTTAGTTAGTTAGTTATTGTGGTTATTTTTCTTTGTTTCCCACATCTATTATACTGAAAGATTAACATGCACTAATAAATATATTTTTTAAATCTCATACCATGTGCCAGGCACTTTGGGAGGTAATAGCAATGCTTTTCATTTCCCAGTCAAGAAAACCAGTGCACACAGAGATTAAGTAACTTGACCAAGATTACACAGCTCAGAAATGGTTTTGTCAGGATTTGAACCAAGGCAGTCTGGCTCCAGAACCTGTTTTTAAGCTCATGGACTCACATTTTTTACATGTAGTATAGTCAGTACCAGTTACTCAGATTGCATTATTTAGGTTTTGCAAAAGTAGACTAAAATGAGAAATTACGTATAGAAATACCTCTTCTCTGTAGCATGAAATATAGAACTATGGAGAAGAGGTGCACTCCAATACATCCATCAGAGTTATCCTAAATATTAGTATCCAATGTAGAATACTTCCTCTGTCTGACAAACTCTGCATGAGTCACAGCAGTTGCAGTACCATAAAAACCAGGTCCCGCTTAGCAGAGTTAAAATCCTTTCTGGGCTGCAGTGACTTCTTCAGTGCTAGTTGGGCAATAGAGAAATGAGGATGAAACTTCAGACTACACCCCAGCTGAAACTCAGCTACGGTGAGAACGGGAGTTGTCATCCTGTGGGCACATTCTCCTCTCAGAACAGCCGGGCAGGTCTATAGGACAGAGAAGTCATGCAGACCAAATATAATTAGCAACTCAAAGGACTCCCTCTGTGTCCTTTTGAATGATGGGTGCCTGGATTTGGGACGAGTAAGGAAGCTGTTGCAGTCTCTGCCAGTGGTGAGCGCCAGTCCAGGGCAAAAACCTTACTTCTGGCATCTTCTGCTTTCACGTACCCCCTTTTGTGTCACCGCCAACAGCTTATGTGACTAGTAAGTTCCAGGTGAAGAAAGCTTCCGAAAGCTGGCAGGCAGGCCCCAATGCTTCTCGCTCACACAGGGAAGAAATGGGCTGAGGCACCAAATTTGAATATGTTCCAACCTCTTAGAATCCCTACATGCAGTGGCTTGTAAAAAGACGAACTTTAAAGCCAGCATCCTATGCTTAGGAGCAAAAGCAAACAAAGAAAAACTCTCCAAACTTCATTTAGACTCAACCAAGCTGTAATGTGCAGTGAGTTAATTGTGTCTCTTTTTAACACAGACATGCCCCTGAAAGTGCAGGCAAGCAGTTCCTAATTACTGTGGTACTGACTACTTTTCAAGAACGGGAAAACCCTGCTGTCGTGAGATAAGTGGACTCCAGAAATGCAGCCTTGCCAAACAGGGAGTCGCATTTTTAAGAAGCTAATGAAAAACGATATTTTTCAAGTGGTTGAAAACGTCACTAAAAACACAATGGAGATTATATTGTACAAGTAGTACCACACACTGAATTAAATCCCAGCCATTTTGAAGCTGTCACTTTCTAAAACCTCTACCCCCTCAGGAGATAGGAAATTCATCCCATCCCACATCTGAAAATAAGGGCTGGGGACAGGCAGAAGCCCACGACTCACTGAATTCTATACACATTTGTGCTACCACCGGGTTCTATCCAGATGTGAGTCAGAGCCTTTGGTAAATGGAAGGCTGACATTCCTATCATGTCTTTTGACCTCCATAGCATACCTTTTGTCTTCAGGGACAAATAAAAATAATAATAGGGTGAACATTTGTTGAACACTTTATCCTGCGTCAGATACTACACTAAGGACTTCGCAAGTATTTCCTTAGTCAGGACTCACATCATCTCTTTGAACTATGAGCTTTGATTACCCCTGTTTTAAAGATGACAAAACCGAGGTCAGCAATGTTATGTAATTTACCAACGTTCACATGGTTACCTTGTGCCTGAGTCTGGATTTTAACTTCACAGTCGTTACCTGCAGACAGAGTGGTTTTATCCAGGTCATGCGTGCCAGCAACAGCAATACTGAGGGCTGGCTCATTTGAATTCACAGCATTTCCTTTTTCTTCCTCGTATCACTTACTAGCACTCTCATAGAGCGAACATGGCTGTAAAAGTGAATTCAACTGGTTTTTCTGCTTGTCAGCAGCTCTAGGAAAAAATGTGAAAAGGAAGATTGAAATTATTGATTAATTGGTGGTTTGTGGGATCCATGCGTGTTGTTATACCTACACTACCTGAATTGTTAACAGGAAATGACTGTGTGGTTTTATGTT